TTATGATTTTCATTCCTATGTTGATGTGCATTTAGTAAGAGTTGCCTATATGCTTCATGAGATGAATTGTTAAACATGCCTAAATGTTCTTTTGAGAGTAATAGCATAATTTGCTTCATGATGTTAAGATGAACATGCTTTAAGTTGGAGAAGGTAATTCCTCCAATATAATGAGAAATGTTGAAGTTCTCATGCATAATGAGTTATTAGATGTAGTTTCTACTTCCTTGTATTGCATTTGGTGTACTGAGATGGAGTTGATGTTTCCTCCTTTGAAATGTGCATTAGTTTTATGTTGCATGCATGATGGGCTGCTAGTTATGAGTCTTTAATTTCCAAGAGGTTTTTAGAAGTGTCATTCGAGGATGATTTTTCCCAAGGGGGAGAATATGTTACTACTCGGAAAACTAGAAGGTGAAACTAGAACCTTATGTGAGAGTTTTTGAGTTTGATGTTGTAAAATGGATTCTCGAGCTTAGGTTGAGGGGTTTAGGGGTTAAACGTCAAGGTACGACCCCCCGATGACCAACTAAGGGTCCTTGAGGAGGACCCTAAAGCTTAACCCCCAAGACCCCTAAAGTTGCCAAAGAGGGCCACCTACGGATTGCAGCTGCGGCCAGTAGGTGGACCCACGCCCCGTAGGTGGGGGTCGTGGGTCAGGCCCTCAATATGTAGGCTCAATTCACCCACCTACGTACCTACAAGACTGTGCGTAGACCCACCTACGGTCCGTAGGTCATGGGCATAGGTGGGGGCCTGAGTTGCTGCCAAGTTTCGGGCATGTTGGTAAATTCCAAGGTTAGTTATTATGCGGTGAGTTCATTTCATATAGATTATTTAGACCTATATAAGGGTTTTTAAACTATTAATTTACCCTAACACTTCATACATATAAACTACCCCAAATCATAGCCACCGTTACCCCCAAAGTTTTCTCCCAAGAACTCCATTGAACAAGGTCAAGTTAAAGCTTTAAGAAGGGATATTTATCTCATGATTTTTCTAGTATTTATTCAAATAAGGTATATTAGTCTTGATTCATGGAAATATTTCTTCCATGAAGCCCTCAAACTTTCAATTTCAAAGTTGGAAATTCTCCAAAACCTAGGGTTTTCATTCTAAGTCATGGATTCTTTATCAAAATGTTTTCAATGGTTTAATTATCATATTTCATGATTGAATTTATGTATTATGGTGGTTTAAATATAAAATCTCCCATGGATCCATGAATTCCCCGTAACCCAAATTTATGAGTATGTGATGTGGGTGAATTGTAGTAACATGAATACTATGAAATTTTTCTTGTAGTAGTTTAATTACTTGAATTATGTCATTATTCATGCCTAAATTGTAGTAATTATAGATGTGTTTGTGAATTATGAATCATGGTCCTTGAAGGGAAAATTGTGAAGATTGTTGTATAGTCATGATGTTTATGTACACACTTTGTGATTTCAATGAAAGTAATGTGATTATGACTATAATGAAATCATGATATTGTTGAAAGGGTATTCTAAATTATACACTTGTGAATGATGATGACATGTTGTGAAGGGTTTCTTCAATGTGATAGTACACCTTGAATTGTTAGGTTTAGGGCATCCTCTTCATGTGTAATTAAAAGTGATATTGATTTGGTATACCTTGAATTGGTAGTCTTAGGGCATCCTCTTCTTGTGAAACTCAAGTTTCTTGATTTGATGAACTTTGAATTGGTAGGCCAAGTGGCATCCCTTTCATAAATGATAAATGAAGTATTATAATGATGTATCTTGGATTGGTAGGCTAAATGGAACCCTTCCATGAATGACAGTGATGAACCTTGAATCGGTAGTCTTATGGCACCCTTTCATGAGTATTAAATGAGCTATCCTAACAATCTACTTTGAATCGGTAGACCTAATGATGGTAGCCCTTTCATGTGTTTAATAATATACCTTGAATCGGTAGATCTAATGGTAGTTCCCCTTTCATGTGTGTAATAATGTACTTTGGGTCAGTAGACCGAATGGTAGCCCTCTTAAGTATAATAATGTTAATGAGAATGAACTACTCTATGGGAATTTAAAGCTTAGCACCGAGTAGATATGTAAAGTGGAAGCTCTTCCCATGTTAAGTCGTGTTTCTATGAACACCTTTTTTATCCCATAACTATGTGCCCTCATAGGTTATAGCTAGTGGATCCACCTAAGCTAAATTATCGATTCTACCTTACTCAACTAGACCAACCCTTTACGTTGTGGGACAGACACCGGATTCCATGGTTTGCTCACATGGCCTATGTCGGTTAGGGCTTATTCCCATCATATGAGTTATATGCTAAGGTTACTCAATAGGTTCTATGAAGCGTGGGTTGTAGTATTGGATGCCATCCATGCATGGTACGAGTAGGCTTTGAGAGTGGCTATGGTGTATTTCTTGAATGTCATAATGTCTAATGAAAGAATGTGCTTATAATGATGCTAATGAGAATGTTGGCTTAAAGGCTAAATGTAAAGATGAATGCTTAACTTGGATTGTTATTATGAGTTGCTTTCCTTGTCATGACTTATTGAATATGAATGCTCCATTATCTATGAGTAGTAACTAAAGATGAGGATGAAGAATTGTAAGTATGTTATGGTGGTCTCAAAGTTGTACTTAGAATGAATGCTATTATGGGATGCCATTCATACATTGCACAAGTATAACATAGGGTTATTTAAGATGATGGTTTTATTATGTTATAATGAGTTACATGTTGAATATTCTTGTATCTTATGCTTATATACTAAAGTTCGTCATATTTCTTAAACTTGACATATATCATGGTTTTCAACTAAAATGCCCTTTTTAGCATGGTATTTGCTTGGCTATCATACTTAGTGCATCTTTGTGCTAACCCATATTTCTTTTACATTTTTCACAAAGTGTAGGTTTCGGATCTTAAGGTGATTTCTAAGGTTCAAAACTTGGATTGACTATTCTCTAAGCCTGTGATGAATCCTCAAGATTCGAGGACATATGAGAGTCTTTAGTAGTTTCTTTCATGTCATTTTACGTTTCAGACTATGTTGAAGGGATGTCACCCTATTATTGATTCAAAGTTGTAATAAATGGCCATGTGAGACAAAGTTAGATTTCTTCTATTTTTAAATAAAGACTTTGATTGTATGGATAAATCTTTTTAAATTCTGTACCATTTTCTTATGTCTTAGGTTATGAATGCTATGAGGGTTGTATGAGGCTCTTAGGAGTCTTTGTATGCCGTGTTAAGTCCGTGGTGTAGCCTCGGGTAGGGACAAACATGGTATCAGAGCAGAAGATGTTGGGATGGTTTTTAGGATGATGTCTCACAATCCACGTCTAGTAGAGTTTTGTTCATGAGTATGAAGCACACCATATTTATGAATGAGAGGCTGTAAGATGTTAGGAAACTAAACTTCTTTCATTATTCTTAAGTCGTGCCATGGAGTTTAACTCTACAAGTCCATCTCCATATCTGTCTTTTGTGTCTTCAGGATATGAATACACGAAGGGCTAACACAAGGAGAATGGAGGGAAACAATTTCAATGAAGAATCTCTTCAAGGGAGTCAAGCTCCTCAAGTGAACCAAGCTCCTCAATGGAATCAAACTCCAATTAACCCTCCGACTATGTCGGATGAGGAAGTCAGGTCGGCTCTTCTAATGATGGCTCATGCCATGACTACTAATGTCCAAGCTATGACGGCCCAAGCCAATAGGGATGGTGGGACTCAAGTGAACCCTAATGTGAGCACTACCGCTTTAGGTTGAGGAATTTTGAGAGGATGAACCCTTCAGTGTTTCTTGGTTCCAAGGTGGGAGAGGATCCCAAAGAATTTTTGGATGAGGTGTATAAGGTAGTCGATGCTATAGGGGTGACCTTGATAGAAAAAACGGAGCTAGCTGCTTACCAATTGAAGGATGTAGCTCAAGTTTGATTTACTCAATAGAAGAAGAATAGGCCGGTAGGAGCGGATCCCATAAATTGGGAGGTGTTTAAGAAAGCATTCATTGATAGGTTAATTCCCCGTGAGAAGAGAGAATCCACTACAAGAAAGTGGACATACAACGATATTTTCTAATTGTCGTATTATGATGTTTAAATGTCACAAATTTGTTTACCGACATTTATTTTACATTTGGACCAAATGTCGGGAATTTTTGTGTCGGGAATTTTTCCAACATTTAGGTAATTGTCGGGAAGAATTTGTGACATTTATTTTGTGACATTTAGGTAAATGTTGAAAAGAATTTGCGTCATTTACTTTGCAACATATATGTAAATGTTGGTAAGATTATTACGACATTTATTTTTTGACATTTATGTGAATGTCGATAAGAAATATATGACATTTATTTTTGACATTTAGGAGAATGTCAAAATGAGATATATGATAGTTATTTTCGACATTTAGGTAAATGTCAGTATGAGATATATGACATTTATTTTCGACATTTTAGGTAAATGTCGGTATGAGATATATATGACTATTTATTTTCGATAATTAGGTAAATGTTGGTATGAGATATATGACATTTATTTTTGACATTTACGTAAATGTCGATAAGAAATATATGACATTTATTTTTTGACATTTAAGTAAATGTCGATATGAGATATATGACATTTATTTTTTCGACATTTATGAAATGTCACTTAAACTTTCTGACATTTAGATTAAATGTTGGTAAAACAAATTTCAAGACACTTACTTGTGACATTTATAAAATGTCACATTGAAATTTCTGACACTTTAGTTAAGTCAACAAATGCTATTATTAAATGTCATAAAAATTAGTGATATTATTTTATATTTATCTAAATGTCATATTAATATTCTAATGCCGCTACCAAGTTTCTTAAACTTCCCAGAAAAATCTATATATAGTTTTTCTCAAGACACAAATACATACACACAATTTGTACATTCAAAACTATCTCCTTCATGATGAGCAAGAAATATTATATAAAGAAAATATTTTCTAATATTATAATCAAAGAACAAAATAGCAATATAATAAGTTTTCTGTAAAAGTAAACAATGTCAAAATAAATTATCTTTTCTATCCCAAGTAAATTTGAGATCTAACTAAATGTAATAATCTCAACATAAAACCAACTAATTAACTCCTAATTCAAATGGAATTAAAATCTCTAATAAATTTGCAATAAATCTTTATGAAATCATCAATCCAAAAGTCGAGCATGTTGAAGTCGATACTTGACCTCAATTTCCTTGAAAATTCTGCACAAGAAATGCACATAAGAAAATTTATAACTATATAATAATAGAAATTAGATCCTCATTAACTAGAACAAATTGGGATATCAAAAATGACTAATTGAATTTTTCTAAAAACAAACATATTAAGGAATTGATGCAAAACGTAGTAATTATATACATGAAATTTTCCTCCTTTTGAAAGAAAAGAAAGATCTTGTAGTTTTTTCTAAACATACCCACTTCTTTTTATTTGTGCCAACTACGGTAGTTCCAGTCTTCTTGATCATGTTAGCCTGAGAAAAAATATTAAATTGATTATTTTGATACTTTACGAAATACAAAACTTAACATTTCATCGAATACATAAGTGTGCCAATTAGGAAAATAAAAAAGGAAGATATATGATTGCTTCAACAAAACAAATATCTGGTGTTGGGACAAAGATACAAACATCTTATAATGCAACTAACAGTGTGATAGCATTATATGAGTTTTTCTAACACAATGTTCACATATCATTAGTTCTTGACCACAAAACCTAGCATATCTATAGTCAACTAGTTCATCCAAATACCTCTAAATCCATTCCAACCAACTCTGCAGATATTGATTTGAACAAAGCAGGAAACACTAGTTTTCGTCAAAGAATACAATAAGCCACACAACAAACCATAACATCCCTATAATGAACTCAATGCAACTTAACATTCTATACAGACACTGTTTTCCTTTTCGAGGTAAAGAGAATTTAAAATTTGTACCCCCTTACTTCTTATAAATTGTTTTTCTGAACCAAAAGTAACTTTTCTTTTCTTTTTACTCCTTGCAGAAAGAACCAATTTAAAGGGATTTTCCTTTTCCCAACCTCACTGCATTAGCTGTATCTTGATAATTCTGGATGATTTCTCATATTGATATTACCAAGTGGATAAATTATATCTTTTCTCAGATTTGGCAACCAGAGCTTTGTAGATGAGAGGCACTTTCATAGATATGAGGTTCAACACTTTTTTTTCTTTAAATTTCGAATTGTGGTGTAACTATTGCACATCTAGGTGGACTAGTTTAATAATTATATGTGGACCATGTAAAACAGAGAGCTAAAACAGAGTAGAATTGAACAATTAGCTTATCAAAAACAACATGATCAAATTCTAAAACTACAGCTCCAAATCCAGTCTACTAGTACATCCAACGCCAACTAGCTCCACATCTAGCTTTATTGAAATCACAAAATAAACCGTACAGTAAACCAAATCTTAGCAACATTAAAACTCCATTCTCTGACTTTTGACGCCTTCTCACTAATTTCTCAAACCAATACTAAAGAAAGAATTACTGTCTTACACAAGACACCTCTGATGAACAAGCTATGAATGTCATCTAACAAACTAGAGGTGGATGGTATTTGGACCCTGAGAAAATGTAGGGAACTTGTTCTATGGAGTTTCAGGTTCAGATATCAAAGTGAAGAAAAAATAAAGGACGTGTGATAATGAGAGATCATAAGGGTTTTATCACTAATCTGGCCTAGACAAGCTGAGAGGAGGAACTTGAACTCTATTATAAGCTCATGCTTTTTAAATAACAATTTTCACCAGAAACTGTTGTATGGACCTGTTGAAGTTACATGTTTGGGGATTGTGTTAAGTTGATTTACCTCTAAGTTGAGTATTTGTATGACTTTAACTACATGCTAAATTGACTTAATTTTTATTTGTCTTATTGGACCAAGAACCTGAAAATGTCTTTTCATACACGGAAGCTTGTCCCTTGTTATTCTACCTTTGCAAACTACCATCTGCAATAGTGGCTAACATCAAACTTTTTTTTTTGCAGACCTAGCAGCTCTGAGCAGACCTCTTCAAGTCGTCGACACTCTGATATATTTGATTCATTTCAGTCCCTGAAACTTAGATCCTCTCCCCAGCCAAAAGTTTCGCCAGCTATGAGTAGCTTACAAGGATATTATGGTCTTAAACTGCCAGATCAGAAAGCTGCATCTGAAGGATTTGAAATGGCAGAGTATAGTAAGGGAGGATCACATTATTTAGAAGATGGCCCGTTTTACAAATCCTCTCCTCTTTAAAATCCACCACTTAGTCTTCAGAGAAAATCTAAAAGTGTAGCCAATGGTTTTATGTCAGAGAATGGAGTTCCTGCAAATCATTTATCAACACAGGACACTAGAGACAATGGTTCGGATAGATGTTTAACATTAATCAATCAATCATGCAGAGGGTAACATCAGACTATGGCCACTCTCCAATTGTGTTGCAGTGTGGTGATTGGGGAGCCTCCAATTCTAACTTCTAATTCGAGAATTGGTGGCTTCAAACCGAGGGGTTTAAAGAGAAGGTCAAGATCTGGTGGGACTTTTTTCCCAATGTTGGAAATCCTGATTTTGTTCTAGTGACCAACCTGAAGGAGCTGAAGACCAAACTCAAGGACTGGAGTAAATCAATCCAAGGTAATTTGAGAATTCAAAAGCAGTTGGTATTGGCAAAATTGGCAGAACTAGAAGAAATCCAAGAACATAGAACCTTGCAAGAGAAGGAAATTGTGTCCAGAATGACTCTTCTAAATGATTTTGAAGATATTGCCAGAAAGGAAGAGATAGCTTGGCAACAGAGGTCCATGGCAACATGGCTAAATGAAGGAGATAGAAATACCAACTTCTTCCATAAAACAACAAATGCTCATGGGAGAACCAACACTATTGATAGACTGAAAGTAAGGGAGGTGATGATAGAAAATCCAGTCGAAATCAAGAAGGAAATAGTGACCTTCTATGAGAACTTTTATGCTGAAACAGAAGAATGGAGGCCTCATTTAGGGATGGAGAATTGCCCTAGGATAAATAACAGTAGATAATTTTAGCAATCTTACTGAGGAGAAGGATTCACTGGTTTGGCAGAGTGACATTCATGGTAAATTCTCAGTCAATTCAGCATATAGGGCACTGAACAAGACTGCAGACCAAGAGACAGACTGGCAATGGAGGATGATCTGGAAACCAAAGGTGCTCTACAAAGTGAATTGCTTTTTGTGGTTGCTGTCAAAAGAAGCGGTTCTGACCCATGAAAATCTGAAGAAAAGAGGATATCATTTTGCCTCTGGATGTACTCTGTGTGGAGAGCAAGCAGAGACAATCAACCATCTTTTTTTACACTGTAAGTGGACTGAGCAGCTATGGAGAATGTTCTTTTGCCTGAAAGCAATTATGTGGGTGAAACCAGGAAGCATCAAAGGAGTTCTAAGTAGCTAGATTAGGGATGGCAATGCTTCAAAGGAGGAGAGATGGAAGTTTGTCCCAGCATGTGTTTGTTGGACAATTTGGAAAGAGAGGAACAATACGAGCTTTGAGAATGTACAGAATAGCCTTCAGAAGATTAAAATGAATTACTTAGCTCTTCTCTATTTTTGGTGTAAACAAGATATTTTAGCTAGAACAGAAGATATCTTTGATGTACTAGATTGTTTATAGGCATCAATCCAATTAAGTCAAAAACTCTGCAAGATGTAATACTTTTTATTGAAGGGGAACTACACTTTTGGTTGTAGTTTACCTGTGGATATCTATAGACTAATGTTACCAGCCTAAAAAAAAAGGAAATTAGTGAGAAGGCGTCAAAAGTCAGAGACTCATTTCACGGGTACTCCAGAAATGCTGTTGAAGGAAGATGACTCAATGCAACTCAAATAATACTACATAAACTTGTACAAACAGTAAAACTCCATAAATACACAGAAACAACATTAAAACATACTAGAATTGAACAATTATCTTATCAGAAGTAACAATGACCAATTCTAACACTTCAGCTCCAAATCCAACTAGATCCAAACCTAGCTTTGTTTAAAAAAAGCAGAAAACCAAATCATAGCGATGAAAAACTCTGATAGCTCAGAGTAGCAACCAAAGGATTTATTTTTATGAGATATGAGTTATAATATACCATAGTATATTTGGATATGATTCTTTGGATTGTCCTTTTATCTCTTTTCAAGTATTTCTGATAATTAAAAGACTCATATCCCAAAAAAAGCTTGCAGTTCCCAAAAAAACAGATAACAGAAACTACTTAATGAAAAAAAAATGTTCATTATTGTAAGAACCCTTTCCCAGACCCCACTAGTGGGATCACACTATGTATGTTGTTTATTGGAAGAACTCAACTTATAATAAGTTAAATCAGCAGGAAGAACAGTGGCAAACTCAAAAAAAGAAGAAAACCAAAAACAATACAAACAATGAGGAGAGACCTAAGACAACTCAAGAACATATGGATCAGGCTAATTCCCAGAAAAGTCACAGTCATACAAGTAAAAATTTTATTACTCGTAACTCTTATATTGATCTTTTTGAACCAGATCTGCCAAACAGTCCATGTACAGGCAAAAATCATCATGAAGACAAGGCACCGACTGGGAAAACACGGGCCAAACTAGGGGAAGATTCTGTGTTACCAACCCCTATATCCCAAAATCCTCCCTCTATGCCTAATGTACTTGCAGGTATGTACAAAGAAGGAAATACAAAGGCCTCTAAGATCAAAGGTATTGAATCAATGCTCCCAATACCCCTCACCCATTTAAATAATTGTTTAACTGTTGTGGAAGCTACTGGAGGGTAACATTACTAACTTGCAGGAAGGGGTATCTAAAGGGGGATTTCTGCATCATGAGAACTTACACACTGACCCTAAGAAAGACCCTAGAGATTCTACTACCACTTCTCATCAGACCACACAAGAGAACCAGCACAATCAGCTCATCCATCAGGGAAAGGTTTCTTTTCAGGGACACAGTAAACAAAATGATCAACAGGGTAATCTCAATTCTTCTCATAACACTCAGAAAAAGAATTAGAAAAAAGAATGTTCATTAGAGAGAATAGGAACAAAACATACAAGATAGTGGGGCCACAAAGCAAGGGCAAACTATCAACAACAAATCTCAGGGCAAACTAAACAAAAAGAAAAGAGATTCCATCAAAAGAAGGCAACAACAAGCAGCAGGGACAGAAGAGAATAATGGGCAAGAGCTACAGGTTCAAGTTGGTCAAAATGAACATAGCAACATCATAAATACAGATTATGAAATGATACATTAGAGTATGATCAGGACACATAGTCTTTGGTGCAAGTTTTTCAATTTGGAGGCTTAATGCATGAAAGAGTTGACTTATGTCAACATCCGAAGATTCTGATGTTGGATCAAAATTCCATCAGTTCCATCAGCTACGGATGTGTCCTTTTGGTGTAGTGTGATGTTTGGTTCGGGTTTCGAGGCTTCTGTTTGGAGTGTGTACGATTAGGCGTTTTAGTTTTTGTGGTGAAAACTAGAAAGAATATGATAAATTAACACAGTTTATAATTTCACTATACCAACTGAAAAACAACAACAACAAGAACCAAAAGAAAAAGATGATCACTTAGACTGTTTATGTGTACATGACGCGCAATCATATTGTCTTTCCAGTATTCCAACTCAAAAAATATGCACTTTTTGTTCCATATATTTTGCAACAAATTATCAACATCATCCCATTTCCTTTTACAAGATTTGGCCAATAGATCTTTACCAAACTTGTTTTTAACATTATTCAATTGCTTAAGAATCTCAATTCCCGTCAACCGTTTAGGTGCTCTATCTAACTCCACAAGGCCATTGAATGCCACTTTATCTTTTCGAAACTTGTGTCCATGAGATAACCATCGTCTATGAGACATGAAACAATATTTTCGCCCATTTTTCAATCTTGTATATTTAGTTTTGGTAAGACAACATGGACAAGCATATCTAGTTTTCACACCATATCCTGATAAGTTACCTAACCCTGGAAAATCACTAATTGTCCAAAGCAATGTTGCACGCATTTGAAACATGTGATTGTTTGATATGTCATAAGTGGCAACACCAACCCACAATTATTTTAACTCATCAACTAAGGGTTGTAGATAGACATCAATATCATTACCTGGTGCACGAGGACCATCAATAATAGTTGATAAATCCAAGTCTAATATTTTGAGGATCTCGAGCAAAATCTGTATGTGCTTCATCAAATTTCCTCCAAGCAATACTGTCTGCAGGATGTCGCATTACCCCATCTCTAGTGCGACCTTCAGCATGCCATCTCATTTGAGTAAATGTTTTAGCCGACATAAATAGTCTTTGAAGTCGTGGTATTAATGGAAAATATCTAAATACCTTTGATGGGATTTTTGATGTTTCTGAACTGGAATTAACTGATGCACCTTTGAACTGTTTGTATCTTGGAGCTTTGCAAAACTTACAAGACGTTCTATCTTTCGTCTCATTCCAATAAATCATTTGGGCATGCATGTATCTTTTTATATTCAAGTCGTAAATCTTTAATAATCTTCTTTGAATCATAAAAGGACTTGGGCAATGTTTCACCTTCTAGAAGCACATCTTTAAACAACTCTAATAGCATGGAAAATGATTTGTTACTCCATCCATTGAGACACTTTAAGTGTAATAGACGAACAAAGAATGAAAGTAGTGAATACTTGCTTCCAGGATATAACTCACGTTCAACTTCTTTCAGTAAGCGAAAGAATTCTTTAGTCTTCTTATCAAAACCCATGTTATCTTGATTTTACCCATCAAATCCTTCAGCAGTAGTGTCCATATCCACAAAAGATGTAGGAGGAATTCCAAATGCTTCATGTAACATGTCTTGCATCTCATGATCATCACCTTTATCTAACTGATTGACCAATTTTGATGAAAATAGCTCCTCACCATGATAAATCCAACTAGTGTAACTAGTTAGAAATCCATCAACCACAATATGTTCAACAATCAAATCTTTTCGAACAAATTTCATATTACGACACTTTCGACATGGACAGAATATTGCAGATGCATCTGGCCTATCTAATGATGCAAAATAAAGAAACTTTTTGGCTCCATTCTCATATAAAGGATCAACCCTATTCAATATATTTATCCAACTTTTATCCATTTAAGTATATAACCTATACATATAGCAAACAAGAATTATACCCTCATACTATTAAAGACTAATACCTCCATACTATTAAAGAAAACAACAAAACACATACTAACCTGCAAAGTCCACAGAAACAGTCCTGAAATTGATATCAATATTCTTTCACTACGGTTACTTTCTTTGTAATCTCCAAACTGCAAATCAATAGTTAAATTTCAACAAATGAATATAATGTATGAAGGCTAGTCATGTGAAATTAGCAGTGCTTGAGGTAATATACTCACCTCAAGTAAATCAACTAGTAAAAGAGAAGAGGAAAAGAGACAAAATGTGAATCTAACGAAACAATGAAGACAAAGCTAATGGTACATCATTACAGGTTCTTCTCCAAGGCTTGTACATGATGCATCTAAATTGGTGGATAAAAGAAGTCAACTAGGCAAAGTGACCAAGATGACTTAACAAATAAGACGTCTTGAATTATATGTTGGAATTTACTTGGTTCTTGTTGTTTCAATATATAAACGGCAAAGCTTTTAAAAACTGAAAATATAAAGTTGCTCTAGGACTACATAAAATCCACTTACTTCCGCTCAAACTTATGATCATGGACTCACACTAAACTATATATATAGGATGGCAATATTGAGCAGTAACCTCAAGTAAATGACTAATATAAAGAACATGTTGAAATCAGGATAGAGATTTTTATATTTAGACAAAGATAGGAGGTGGCTTATTATCAACTTAATACCACAATTAATAAGTATGGCCAAATAGAGCAATGGTGTACCTATGCAGTATCAACCACCTACGAAACATCAGTATGGAGATCTATAAGGAATCTTTGGCTTAGGCTAGTAAATAATTCATGTTATGAGGTGGGTGCTGGGAATAAAATATTATTTTGGAAGGACCTATGGATTGGACAACAAGTTTTAATGCAAATTTTCCCTGATCTGGCCAATATATTCACTAACCTTGAGGTTACAGTGGCTGATAGCTGGTCCCCACAGGGATGGAACTTCTTCTTTAGGAGGCATCTTAATGACTGGGAAGTAGGCAGGTTTGTGGAGCTATTGCAGATGATTGATGTTTTCAAAGGCACTACTGTAGAGGATGACACTTTTAGATGGAAACATGATAAGGATGGCAAGTTCTCTGTAGGTTGAATTTATAAGAGAGAGGTATCCTGGATGCCTGAGAACAAAATAGGCCCTTGGAAGCATGTATGGAAAAGTATGGCTCCTACAAAGGTCAAGTCCTTTGCTTGGTTAGTAATCAGCAAAGCTTGCCTCACTCATGAGATCCTGTAGAAAAAGGGATTGCCAATTGTGTCCAGATGCATGTTATGTAGTGATGCTAGCGAGAGAAATAATAATCTGTTCCTCCATTGTGGAGTCACATCTCATCTTTGGACTATGTTCCTCAGTTTAACAGAGACAAAATGGTCAATGCCAGGGCACACATCAGACTTGTTAAGTTGCTGGATTAGGAGAGGGGGAAGCAAGACACAGAAGAAGTGGTGGAGAATAATCTCACACTTTATCTGGTGGAATATCTGGAGGGAGAGGAATGGAAGAAACTTTGAAGATAGATTCAACAACATTCAGAAAATCAAAGAGAGCTGCATAGCAATTTTCTACTTTTGGTGTAAAGAACATTGTATAGAAAATGCTGAACAATTTGTAGATCTTTTAGGATTACTGTAATTAGTCTCTTGTTCTAGCTTGTTACTACCTTTTTGGAGGTCTCCAGCATACCTTAATGCTGAGGAATACAACATTACCAGTTTTTTTTTTAAAACAATTAATAAGGACAATTAAGCTTCATAATCCATGCTCAACTAGATCACTGTAATATGCAAAATATACTACAGATGTAGTACAAATAATAATCACGAAGAACAAGATTCATATAGGGAAAGAAACTACACATGTTTAATACTAAATTGGACACATATATAAGAAAATATTAACATAAGGAATCTGATTTAAGACCAGACTTGTCAAAGGCTTCATTACAACACCATCAAGAATACTATAGACGTGTACTGCCAACACTCTCATACTCTAAAAGAATAATGAGCAACATATGACAACAGAGGACATGTATAAGACATTTCTCTCCTAAAACAAGATATGAACAATTGTTTGAACATTCTTTAAAGAATACAAACTCAAAATTCAATTTATATTCAAAATCTGTTGAATGTGCAACTGCATAACTCATTTGGCACCCTCCAAACACATAATGAAAGCATGAATACTATTTCAACAATATAAGAACAGAACAATATCATGATGAACCAGTGAAACAAGCTAAAACATGAGGCAGGCATAGTGACTATAGTCTCCCGATCCTATGACTGCCTAAAAATGATAATCATGTCGTATAAGACCTAATAAGGGTGATCAACTAAGAACTAAGCAATAGAGTATGCAGCCGACCGACAGGAAAAATAATACAACATCACAGATAGACTCAAGACAACATCATTACCAAGAAGAAGAGCCAAATCAGCAGGAAGAACAGTGGCAAACTCTAAAAAAGAAGAATAACAAAAACAATACAAACAATGAGGAGAGACCTAAGACACCTCAAGAACAGATGGATCAGGTAGATTCCTAGAAAAGTCAGAGTCATATAGGTAAAAATATCATTACTAATAACTCTTATACTGATCTTGTTGAACCAAATTAGTCCAACAGTCAAGGTACATGCAAACATCATCATGAAGACAAGCCACAAGTTTAGAGTCACTCTTTAAACCACAAACTCAACAATGTAGACCAATTTAATTGCTATTTTTTTTCTATAAAAAAAGAGCAAAGTTGAAAAGATCAAAACCATCACATAAAATTCCTAAACATAACAGAAGCAAAAAAAATAGTGAACCAAAGTTGTGAGATGGAAAAAGTGAAGTCGCTTGGTTTTTCCCCTTTGGTATATCAAGATTGCAATATGTTCTCCAATATGATTTGATTCTCACCATAGAAAGAACAAAATAAGAACCTGTTGTCTGGTCATCATCTTCCTCAATTGAAGTTCTAATCGATTCTCAAAGCAGGGACATTCTAAACAATAACTTTAACTATTTTTGTTCCTCCTCATCCTCTAATAATAGTTTCAATCCTCCTGCACCTAATCATGATTATTTTACTACTACTGCTGATGCTCTTACTCTCTCGACTCCCCAGGATATTGATGAACGTCAATTGATTCTCAACCTTACCCTTTGTTTGTAACAAAAAATTACTACTATCTGTAGTTATCCCTTTTCTGCTAACTCTTATTAGTTAAGCGGAAACTCTCTTTATTTTCATCTTCTTCTTCTTTAGAATAGCACCCAAACTCAAAGTGTTACCCAACGATTTGAACACAAGGAGAAAACAATCGATTATGAAACTAGAAATGAAAATTGATTATGAGCATGCTAAAACTAGAAAAGAAAAAAATTACAGTAACTTGTTCACATAATCGTTCAGAGTACGGTAACTCAATGAAAATTGAAACTAAAACCCTACGCACTCAAAATTATTGAAATTAAAACCCTAAAGAGGGAGGAGAAATTACAGTACCTCGTTCAAAAATTTCTTAGCTTGAGAATGTGCTGAGCGCCTGAGGCGATATACAAATAACTCTAGACTTTAAGCAGGAGTAGGGTTTTTTTATAAAAAAGTTTCTTATTACTAATAGGAGGGAATATTTTATCGTAGTAGAAAAATTAGAGGGAAAAGTTAATAGCATGAAAAATTAGAGGGAAAAGTTAATAAATTTTCTTTTACTTTAATAAACTTAAAATGAAAGTTTTATTTTTAAGACAATTATTTCAACTTATACTATAAACTTTCACTGAAGCTGGAAAAAATCTATAAAATCCAATCACTACAAACTCAAACTATAAAGTTGCTCTAGGACTACATAAAATCCACTTACTTCCACTCAAACTATAAGCTTTCACTCAGAAAATTGTATAAAATATACAAAGTTAAATTGTTTCCGCTGAAACTACACAATTTCGCCACAAACTGCATATAATCTATAAAATCCCACTATTTTCACTGAAAAATCCAATTATTACAAAATTCAACATTATTTTTTGCTGAAACTACAAAATTAATTTCCCTAGAAGCTGCATATATAATCTACAAAATCAAACTACTATCAATCAAATTCAACTGATTTTTTCCCTAATAAATTAGGTTTAAAATGGATCGAAATGTGTACCGTCACGTTTGAGGGTGTTTGAGTGAACGAGAGCGCTTTGGATCAATTCATTCTTTACCAATTGGGCCAGTCATCGCAGACTCTTTCGTTGGGGTTCACAATCACACCAACATTATCTTCAAAGTACATGAAGACACCGTCCTTTCGACGCCATGGCTTGCGCTGACGAACAATGACAGCAGGCATAACCTTCTTCCTGAGATCTGCCTTACCCTTCTTCACAGTAGCCATTACCATATCTCAAACACAAGCTGAAGGCAACCTGTTAAGCCTTCCCTTGATCCCTTTCACGGAAATGATGTACAGGTTCTTAGCACTAGTGTTATCGGCGCAGTTCACCGTCGCCGCCACCGACAGACCCGGCGGAACCTCATCTTCCTCGTTTCGACATCCCGGACGGTGTTGTTCTTCACGATCCCAAAAAATCTGAAGCCTATAGTCGAGATTGAGAGAGATGATGGAAGTGAAGGAAGAAGTGTGAAATGAATCCTCACTTTGGGAATTTTCATCAAAATTAGTTTTGTATACAACGCTATTTAGTTTTTTGAAATGAATTTATAATTTTATTAATTATATATTGTAATTTTAAATTATCTTAAAATTCTACATCCTTCAAAATCAAAAGGAAAATGCATTTTCCTATCCTTTGAATTATACACAAATGAATTTATTTTTTGGATAAAAAATTTCCTGATGTAAATAAACGTGATTTTTAAAAAAAATTTATTTATTTATATAAACGTGATTTAATTTTAGTTATATCCTCTTTTTGTTAGTTTGCATTTATCCATTTTAAAATTTTAAAATACATATTATTATTATTATTATGATCATCATTATTACTATTATTATTATTAATATTAATATTATTATTATTAGTTAACAATTTGCCTTTTCCATTTAAGCAGTATTACTAAACAGGAAATTTTAAAATTCAAATTAAAAAACAATAACAAAATTTTTCTTTTAGGAAGAAAAAAAAGAAACATAAATTATTTAGTTTATTACTCTTTTTTAATTTCTTTTTGGTTAATTTAAAAATCATGTTTAGACGATTTTTAAATTATTTAGAAACATAGAATTATTTAGTTAGTTACTTTTTTTTAATTTTTTGATTAGTTTAAAAATCATGTTCAGACGATTTTAAAATTATTTAGAAACATAGAATTATTTAGTTAGTTATGGGGTAATAGGACCTTAGTGAAGGTTAGGTGTGTCTCAGGGATTGTGGGTATAGGCTGGGGGGTACTTATGCATTTTCGGTTAATTTAAGAATCATGTTCAGAAAATTTTTAAATTATTTAGCAACATAGAATTATTTAGTTGGTTAATTTTTTTAATATATTTTTGGTTAATTTAAGCTACAGATATAAAAGATTTTTAAATTTTACATTTTACATTTTAAATTTTAAAATTGTTGAATTTTTGTGGTGCTGACATGTGCACTTTTTACTTCTCCTATTATATATAGGAGAAGTAATACCGATTTTTTATTACTATTTATTTAAAATAATTTATTTTAATAATATTGAATTTTTATTATTATGTTTAAATATAATTAAGAAAAAATAAAGCAATATTTTGGAATACTTGTAACTAAACAAGTGATTTGCATTTCAAAAGAAGTCATTTGACAATTTTAAAACCATCTTCTCTTATTATTTGGCTTCATGTAAATGTTTTGAATTGTTATGTTTTAGATCTATATCTCACCTATATTGGAGGTAATGGGGATGTGGGTGAGGATTTGTGGGGGTATTATTTAATTTAGATAGGAGAACTTTTTAAAATAAATAAATTGAATGTTAAAAATATGTAAAAATTTGAATTGGTTATAATTTTTCAATGGTAACTTTTTATTTTTAATGTTCAAGATATAAATATTAAAATTTTAAACTTAACTTTAATTATTTAAAATAATATTAAGAATAATTAATCCTATTTTGCTAATGATTAGTGAAAAAGTAACAAAGAATATTATTTTTCTATTAATTTGTATGCTAAATTAACTACAATGATAGTACCATCAAAAAATAAAAACAGTTTAAAGCACTAAAGCAGGAATTGTTTATGTTTTGCATCCTCCGTTCTCTTACTAAAAGGAAGTTATTAAAGGAAGAAGAAGCAGTTATTTAAATATTTAATGTGTTTACTTATTTATTTTTTTATTTAGTATTTTAATCTATTAATTAATATTTAATTCAAATTAATTAATACAATTGTAAATTATAATTAACACTAAATGTACTTTTCCATGAACATCATAGTAATAATGAAGTATAAACCTCTTGGCATAATCAAATGATGTTTAATCCTATAGTAATATTCCCTCAGCAAACACAACTGCAATGTTCAGTTGACGCTTAAGAATCTAAGGCTTTTAGTAGAATGTTGCCCTTGAATATAATCACATACAATCAGATGTACCTAACCTTCAACACAATAACCATGTAACATAACAGATTTTTATATCATACTCTAATCAAACTCTGAACTTCAATAACTCATTACAGGACTTGACTCAAGCAAATTTGAATTGGGTTGGGTCTTGACCCGTTTGTTGTCTTTACCCATTAAATGACTAGTATTGAGAATGATTTCTTTCTCTAACTTATAATTTTATTTTGAATGTACAGGAAAATGCGGGTGATTGAAATTGAATAGTGGCCAGAAGTAAACTCAATTGTAGTGAACGATAAAGAATTGTTGTACTGTTGCCATATATGTTTGGATGCATTTGATTTTGTGGAATTTATTGCTAGTAGAGATCCTTAAGCAATTGTTTTCAAAGTATGGGTTGTACACACTACAACATTTTAGGCCTATGACTACACTAAATCTAGACAACGCTTGTAAAGTGTTGCCTAAAATATTTTTGGGTACACTTTAAAAGCGTAGCCAATGTTTTTAACTTTTCACTTCGATAATATTGACATCTTTTGTAAAGGGTACTCTTTAATGATATAGGCTACACTTTAGAAGTGTTGTTATATAATTATGATATAATTGGCAACAAATATTTATATATATGGACACACTTTTAAAATATGTTATTTTTATAATTTAAAAAATAACACATTACAAGTGTAGCCTTAATATTTTCACTAAAATATTATACTCCCTCCAACATTTTCAAGTATCTCTCCAATTTTTAATTGGGAAAAAAAATAGTAATTCATAAAACATTAAAACTTTCTTTTCTCCCAAATCACAAAAAAATTCCGTCAAATTGAAGAACACACTCTTTAGGCTTTTCTCTCCAAGTATGAAGAACACAATTTCCATCAAACTTTCTCACAAATTTCTTGTTGAAGAGCTGAAGAGCTGTCCCGTCATATTCTCGCTGAAGAGTTGTTCTCGCTGAAGGTTAGGCCTCACAGATGAACACGCCTCATGAAAAGATTTCTTGCTGAAAATTGAACAAAATGCTTCACTTGAGAAGATGGTGTCTTAAAGCTTCATCACATTGAAAGGATTTTGTTGGATTAGTGTTTATCAGGTAAGTAATTCAATCTTTCAAAGTCTAAATTTTAGGTTTAGGAATTTGATATTCTTGTGTTGCTGATACGATTTTTGTTGATTTTTGGAAGTCTAACTCGTAGATGTATTACCCACATCAGTTGATTCTTTGCCCTAAGCATTAATAACTAAATAAGTATAAATGGGATGATTAGGGCTGATTCTTCACTTGAGAATTTCTTTTTTATTAGGTTCATAAGCTGATTAGGGCTGAAATCGTCCATGATAGTGTAGGGAAAAAATCAGATGGCATCAGCAATAATGGGTCCTTTCAGGATAAGGAAAGACTACTCTTCTCAATGTTCTGGCAGGTAAAACAAAAGCATCACCTAAGTTAAATTTTTCTGGTCTTTTGGACATCAATGGTGTGCCATTTTCAAACAGAGTCTTTATAAAACCAGAGGTTTTAAAGTAGGATAACTATAGACATCTGGCCGCTATGCTTCCCTGTAGAGTGTAGTCTTCTTTATGAAGTTAAAATAGCAGGGACTCCCAATTTTCACTTTTATCTCATCTATCTTTCACTTGTAATGGTGCTTACCTCCTGGCCACAACCATTATCCAGTCGTGCTGACTCCTTAGTTACATGATTGTGTCAAATTTTCATGTAGTGGAAGTCAGAATAATTATTATCGGATGAGATGCGTAAAAATATGTTGAGCTTGTGTAGGCATCCAAATCCTGTGATTATATGGTTCTAGAGAAGTCTAAAAAATGAATCTGAATATGTTTTCTATCCTTGTAGAGGCTTAACTAGTTCTTCTACTTGCACAGATAATATATTGAACTCAATAATGTTAAAAAAAATGTTTGTTTATGGTGCTATTAAGGACTTCAAAACCATTATCTGGGGTTCTATATTCCTTGTGATGTTGTATTGTCTGGAAATGTGTATGCTTGATTCTCTTTTATGTCAAGGAAATCTTGTGGGGTCTTATTTAGTAAATATGGTACTAATTTCGAAGTACTTTTGTATGTAAAACAGTGCATTTGGTTTTAGAAGATTCTACACGTAGAAGGCGAAGGAATAAATATATAAAATGAAAGCTAACAAGATGAGCTTCTAGTGGAAAAACATTTAGACTGGAGCTAAACCAATATCATACATTTATTAGTTAATGACTTGATGAATATTTCTCCCTCTTTTCATATAGAATTCACATCTGCATCCTAGTTTTGTCCAGCTATTATCTTGTATATTAGTGGTGTTTTTTTTTGTAAGGATCTTCTACGTTAATGTCACACCTCCTTTTTTAATGGTTTTGGTGTCTAGATTCCGTTTTAGCCTCCTACAATGGAGGTTCAGCTTGAAAGCTAGATGTATTATGTTTAACTTACTTTGAATCATTCACATAGTAATAATAGAAAGTTTTCCACCCAAACATCTAAAAGATATGAATTATCAACTTTCCTCGGTGGCAGTTGTGAGATATTACTAGCTCCTTCAATCTAAGAGGAAGTACATTTATAATCTAGGAAAATTTTGATTATAGTAGAAACAATTGAATATATTATTGAAGTCATAATATTAATGCGAAGACAAGATTATACTTTAATGGTTGCTTGTTCACCTTTTTACTTGTCGCCACAAAACCCTGCTTTCAGGAATTGATGCTTTTCAAGCAGAGCAAGTGATGGAAACCTTAAGATACCTTGCACAAGATGGACATACCGTTATATGTTCTATACACCACTCTAGGGGTTCTGTGTATGCAAAATTTGACGACGTTGTTCTGTTGGCAAGGGGCTCGCTCATTTATGTTGGTCCTGCAAATGATGAAGTACTAGCGTATTTCTCGAAATTCAGGGTTGTTATATGATCGATTCCCAAAATTACTTATATAATTTTTATAACCTTATAGTGCTTTGGTTCTCAATCATGTATTGTATTCCTGGAACTGTAGCTTATTTGTGCGGTTTGTTGGTATGACAAGATATATGTCTATATGGTGCCTGTTAATTGAAACATGTATTCTTTCAAGTAGAGCTAAATGTCCCTTTAATAAACTTGATGGTGATTTTAGGGTCACATTTTATTCTTAAACACATAGATATCAAGTTAGAATGTGGTAAGGCGAAAATCATAGATGCTATATCTATCTATTAGGAGAAGAAATCATTTAAAGAAGGGGATTCTTATATGTAGATTACGTACTTCGATCTTGGAACGAGCATGAAGTAGCATGATAAGGAAATACCGTTTATGAATTTAGTGTGCGAGTTGAAACACTTTATGATGTAAACATATACTCTTGGGTTTTCTTTCTGGTTATTTTTATAGGGGAGGGTGTGGGGCGAGGGATGTGTAAATTTATGTGCATGCACACATGTGCGCTTGTGTAAATTTATGCATTTAAGTTAAGCCATTGACATATGGATATGGAGCCAACTTAATTTCGTATGATTCATGTGAACTAAAAACTGCAGTTTGTTAATCAAGTATTGATGATGGTTACTAAATGACAGGTACATTTGTCCAGATCATGTAAATCCTTCTGAATTACAGTACATACACTAGTCTGGTACTCTTTCATATTGTATAGCTTTCCACAGAATTAGTGTACATGTTATAGAATCAATTTACAGTAAATACAGTAGGTTATAGCTTGCACTAAACTCAGCTGTACAGGTTATAAAATCAGTTTACAGTACATACAGTAGGTTATAGCTTGAACTAAACTCAGTTGTATAGGTTATAGAATCAGTGTATATGTTATAGAAGTAGTTTACAGTAAATACAATAAGTTATAGCTTGAACTAAACTCAACTGCTACAATCTGCTATTATGAATTACTCTTATCACAACTTATCAAGAGAAGTAAAGAAAATAAGAACGACCATGTATATTAGATCAAAATCAGTGTACAGATTATAGAATCAGTTTACAGGACATACAATCTAAACTCAGCTGCTGCAATCTGTTCTTATCAATTACTCTTATCACAACTTATCAAGAGATGTAAATAAAATAAGAACGACAAAGTATATTAGATCAGAATCAGTGTACATGTTAAAGTAACATAGCCCCAGGAACTTTAATACAACAACAACAACAACAAACCCAATATAGTCCCATAAGTGGGGTCTTGGATACAGTGCTGGAAATTCTGGAAAGAGTTATACAGTGCTGGAAATTTTGGAAAGATTTTACAGGACCCCCTGTTTGGATTTTTCTCCTGCTGCTACTGTTCTTTGGCCTGAAGTGGACTTTGAGTTGGCATTGATCTACTAATAGGGATGGCAATGGGGCAGGTCAAGGGTGGGGCAGGGCGGGGCAGGGCAGGGAAGTGAGAACAACACTTGCATTTTGGGTGAAAGAGTTTATAAGTCATAAAGTAATTGAAAGAATGGAACACACTTACATTGAACTTGCACTACAAAGGCTTCTCCCAAATCCTAACATATCAATTTTAGGAAATGTAACAGCTAAGAGACAAGCTGTGCTTACTTTTCTCATATATACCACAACTTACTCTTCATCAAATGATAACAATGGTGAGGAAAGCACATTTTACTTATGGGGAGAAGCAGGGAATTACAAAAGAGATAAATGGGGTAGATCACGACATGGCTTAGTGGGGTAGGGGAGGGGAAGAATCCCCAGTGGTTGATTCTTCACGAATCTGCTCCGAGCTTGCTCGAATTTGCAAACGCGATTGAGGCATCTTGTTGTTTAATATTGCTGGTATCAGTATTGCACAACTTATGGTCTTGGTCCGGTGGCCCGTCAAGTTTATGGCAGATTGCTGTTAAATATTGTCGGTATCAGTATTTGCTGGTATATATGTATTGCGCAGTTGCTGCAATCAAGAATTTGTTCTTGGGAGACTTAGGTGCAAATATTTATGCTTTTTGTCTTCTAATTCTCTATTGATACCATGACATTTTGGCACAAAATTTGTTCCTTTATACATCAAAGTAATTGGCATTTTGTGATGAAATTATTGAATTTGTTTAGCACAAACTAAAGTTGCATTAACTCTACAATACCTTCCAGTCACTAAAGATGCATAAACTCTACAATACATCACAGAAGTAAGTCAAAGAACTCCTTTAATTTCCATAAAACTTTTAGTCCATCTTGGTGGTAAAAGCTTATGGGTGGATTGTGACAAAGGTTTCAAAAGTTCAACTTACAAACCTGGTGTATGTAATTCCATACAATGCACTTATTCCAATCCTAATCACTGTGGTGACTGCATATTGAAACCAAAATTGCAGCCTGGATGCAACAACAATAGTTGTTACATTTGGGGTGAAAATCCCTTGATTGATTGGTTTGATGATAGTGCTGACATTGCTGATGATGTATTTGTTATTGGTTCTACTACTGGTGTTCGTGTAACTTTGCCGCGGTTCATTTTTGCTTGAATGTGTTTATTCCTTTTGCTTCAACAGACTGGCAGTGGTAGAAAATTGCACCACAATGCAATATACAGCTGATCAAACCAAGTGATACAGAGAGGCCATTTTTATGGACAACAAGTAAGTCCTTCAGTTTTTGGTAAAATTGAGAACAACAACATTTACTTTCTAGCTTCTATTTGCTTTATCTTCTTTTATGGGGCTAAACTTGTTCTCAATCATACTATTAAGTAAGAAGCCTTTCATGTTTACCATATGGGACGATCTAACGGACAATGAAGGGATTGTACTACTACAACTGTTGCACAAGCACACTGTTATTCTTGCAAAACAAGTAGTTGTTACAGCATACCATCGCGATAAGATTGTTTTTCCTTAGTTTATTTGATCCTACTATGAATAATTTCTTTGCTTTACTTGTCACCATATGTTGTTCCCGCATCTCTAAGGTTGACAACCAGATACATTTTGACAATTTTAGTCAAACCTTTATATGTGCAAACTACAGCATTAATGGATTCGTACAAATTAACTTTCCCGCCATTCTAATCCACCATCATTCAAGTTATTTACATGTGGGGAAAAAAAAAAAGATAGTCATTTTTACCGTGGCTTTTAGCAGGGCAAAAGACAACGAACAAATGCTCTTCGCTTATACTTTGAGAAGCTCATTTGAATCATTTTCATCCCTCAATCTTGCATCTGTTGACAATGAAACAATATCTATCTCGGTCATTCCTTCATTGTCATCTAGAATGAGTTTAAAATATGACTTTCACTTTCTTTGTCAATACTGACCAACTGCTCCATAGTGAGATTTCTCCACTAAAAAATATGCTAATATCTCTTTTGAGTTGTGATCTGACAACAATAGACATGGAAACATTAGCTGAATTTTTTTTCGCGATGAGAGCTGAACAAGTGTATGAAATAGTCGTTGTCTAGGTACTTCGTATTATCTCTTTCGAGTTGTAATCTGCATAAGTGTTTGTTCTCTACTGACAAATGAATCCGTCTTTTTCTTTGCTGATTGTGACCTCTGTGAGCTTCATTTTTCTTTAAGTTTTGATAGAATGAATTTTTGCATTTTAATGTGGATCAGTAGCCTATATGTTGTCTTGGGAAGGCATTTCCTTCAAGATGAATTAGCTTTGCAAGTGATTCTTTGTTTCTTTTAGATGTCTCTTGTCTTTAAAATGTTGAAATTTATAAAGAGTTATCTTCCAGCAGTCCATTTATGCCTAAGGGAAATTACACCAGCATTCCATTTTGTTACTCATTGTTTTTCATAACAGTACCACTACATTGGGAAGGGACTGGGAAGGTATTGTTAAAAGTGACTTGTATTGAGCATATTAAATACATGATTTATTTCACTAACTTATTTTTATTTTGAATGTACTGGAAAATGCCAGTAATTGAATTTGAATACTGGCCAGAAGTAAACTCGATCTATTGTAGTGAACGATGAAGAGTTTTTGTATTATTGTCATGTATGTTTGAATGCATTTGGGTTTTGTGGAATTTATTGATAGTAGAGATCTTTAAGCAATTGATTTTTAAGTATCGGTTGTACAAGACATGTTTCCCGAAATTTATTTGAAATATATTCCTTCGATTTATTTATTAGCTAATTTTGTGCTTTTGATCACTTATATATATATTTAATTATGTGATTATTGAATATATGCAAATATTTATTATTCTCAAAAATGAAAAATTGTGGCTACAAAGATTCTACACAACATTGTCAAACTTAAAAAGTATTGCTATAAGGACGTCCAACGTGTGGCTTATTGATTAAAAAATTTATCTTGTACAGAAGAAAAGTTACACTTTATAAGTGTTGTTGTAGATGAGATATAAAAGGCAACACTTTTTAAGTGTGACCAATAACTAAGCAAAGGCCACACTTTTAAGTGTAGTATAATCAAACAAAAGGTGTTGCTAATGAATTACTACAAAGCGTGTCCTTTATACCTCTTTGGCTACACTTTTTTTTGTATTAAAAGTAGCTTCCATATAGAATTATTTTTTAGAAAATTAAAAATGTTGTCTACAATAGTCGAAAGATCACCTAATAGTTATTTAATTAACTATTACAACAACCGTAGTCGGCGTTATTAAATTAATAAATTATTATTTAATAAGTATTCCGACTACAGTAGTTAGTAGTATTAAAAATTAATAAAATATTATTTTACTACCGTTCCGACTACAATAGTCAGCAGTTCAGGTACTTTAATGGTCGGGTTTTAATTTATATGTAGTGACTATGGTAGTCGGCAAGTATTTTCCGACGCTCAGTCTGCTGACTACTCAAAAAGTTGTCGGAAAGTCATTGGAAAACTCCATTTTCCTACTACATTCCGACCAATTTTGAAGTCGGCAAACAATGAAATTCTAGTAGTGTAATATATTTGACATTTGTATTAAATGTCGCTATTTTAGTAACACTTTTGCTAAAAGTCACTAAAATCAACGACATTTTACAACAAATGTCACTATTTTAGTGACATTTTTTCTAAATGTCACTAAAATCAATGACACTTTGCAGTAAATGTCATAATATATTCGACATTTAAATTAAATGTCACTATTTAAGCGACATTTTTTCTAAATGTCACTAAAAGCAATGACATTTTGTAATAAATGTCATATTATATTCGACATTTGTAGCAAATGTCATCATTTAAATGACATTTTCGCTAAATGTCGCTATAAACAACGACATTTTGCAATAAATGTCATTATTATAGTGACATTTTTTCTAAATGTCACTAAAATCAATGACATTTTACAGTAAATGTCATAATATATTCGACATATATATTACATGTCACTATTTAAGCGATATTTTTCTAAATGCCACTAAAACTAATGACATTTTGTAATAAATGTCATATTCTATTCGACATTTGTAGCAAAATGTCATTATTTAAATGACATTTTCGCTAAATGTCATTATATTTACGATATTTGATACCAAATGTCATTATTTTTAAGACATTTGACATCAATTGTCATTGTTTTACGACATTTTGTTCTTAAATGTCATGAAATTCTTTATTTTCCGACATTTGTTTCAAATGTCACCAAATTAATGTCGTCGTATGTACATTTTCTTGTAGTGAGCTAAGGTGGAAAAATTTATAAACCTTAGGCAAGGTAGCATGAGTGTCCAAGACTTTTCTTTGAAATTTACCCTTTTGTGTAAGTATGATCCGTCTATGGTTGCGGAGCCGAGTGATGATATGAGTAGATTTGTGACGGGTGTGTCTGACCTAGCTGAGAAAGAATGTTGTACAACAATGCTCCATAAGGACATGCATATTTCTAGGCTGATGGTGTTTGCTCAACAAATTAAGTTGGAGAAGGTAATACCTCCAATGTAATGAGAAATGTTGAAGTTGTCATGCATAATGGGTTGTTAGATGTAGTTTCTACTTCCTTGTATTGCATTTGGTGTACTGAGATGGAGTTGATGTTTCCTCCTATCAAATGTGCATTATTTTGATGTTGCATACATGATGAGCTGCTAGTATTGAGTCTTTAATTTCCAAGAGGTTTTTAGAAGTGTCATTCGAGGACGAGTGTTCCCAAGGGGGAGAAAATGTTACGACTCGGAAAACTAGTAGGTGAAACTAGAACCTTATGTGAGAGTTTTTTGAGTTTGATGTTGTAAAATGGTTTCTCGAGCATAGGTTGAGGAGTTTAGGGGTTAAAAGTCAAGGTACGACCCCCCAATGACCAACCAAGGGTCCTTGAGGAGGACCCTAAAGCTTAAACCCCAAGACCCCCAAAGCTGCCAAAAAGCTGCCAAAGAAGCCCACCTACGGATTGCACCTGCGGCCAGTAGGTGGACCCACGCCCCGAAGGTGGGGGAAGTGGGTCAGGACCTAAAGATGTAGGCTCAAGTCACCCACCTACGAACCTGCAGGACAGGGCGTAGAACCATGTACGGTCCGTAGGTCATGGGCGTCGGTGGGGGCCTGAGTTGCTGCCAAGTTTCGGGCATGTTGGTAAATGCCAAGGTTAGTTATTATGCGGTGAGTTCATTTTATATAGCTTATTTAGACCTATATAAGGGTTTTTAAACTATTAATTTACCCTTACACTTCACAAATACAAACTACCCCAAATCATAACCACCGTTACCCCAAAAAATTTTCCCAAGAACTCCATTGAAGAAGGTCAAGTTATAGCCTTAAGAAGGGAGATTTATCTCACGATTTTTCTAGGATTTATTCAACTAAGCTATGGTAGTCTTGATTCATGGAAATATTTCTTCCATGAAGCCCTCAAACTTTCAATTTCAAATTTGGAAATTCTCCAAAACCTAGGGTTTTCATTCTAAGTCATGGATTCTTTCTCAAAATGTTTTCAATGGTTTAATTATCATATATCATGATTGAATTGCTGTATTATGGTGTTTTTAAGATAAAATCTCACATGGATCCATGAATTCCCCATAACCCTAATTTATGACTATGTGATGTGGGTGAATTGTAGTAAGATGAATACTATGCAATTGTTCTTGTAGTAGTTTAATTACTTGAATTATGTTATTATTCATGCCTAAATTGTAGTAATTATAGGTGTGTTTGTGAATTATGAATCATGGTCCTTGAAGAGCAAATTGTGAAGATTGTTGTATAGTCAAAGTTGTACTTAGTATGAATGGTATTATGGGATGCTATTCATACATTGCACAAGTATAACATAGGGTTATTTAAGATGATGGTTTTATTATGTTATAATGAGTTACATGTCGAATATGCTTGTATATTATGCTTATATACTAAAGTTCATCATATTTCTCAAACTTGACATATATCATGGTTTTCCACTAAAATATCCTTTTTAGCATGGTATTTGCTTGGCTATTGTACTTTGTGCAAACCCATATTACTTTTATATTTTTCACAAAGTGTAGGTTCTGGATCTTAAGGTGATTTCTAAGGTTTAAAGCTTGGATTGACTATTCTCTAAGCCTGTGGTGAATCCTCAAGATTCGAGGACCTATGAGAGTCTTTAGTAGTTTCTTTGATGTCATTTTATGTTTCGGACTATGTTGAAGGGATGTGACCCTATTATTGATTCAAAGTTGTAATAGATGGCCATGTCAGACAAAGTTAGATTTATGCTATTTTTAAATAAAGATTTCGACTGTATGGATAAATGTTTTTAAATTATGTACCATTTTCTTATGTCTTATTTTATGAATGCTATGAGGGTTGTATGAGGCACTTCGGAGTCTTGTACGCCGTGTTACGTCCGGGGTATAGCCTTGGGTAAGGACAGACATGGTATCAAAGCAGAAGATGTTGGGATGGTTTTTAGGATGATGTCTCACTAGCCACGTCTTGTAGAGTCTTGTTCATGAGTATGAAGCGCACCACATTTATGAATGAGAGGCTATAATATGTTAGGAAACTAAACTTCTTTCATTATTCTTAAGTCGTGCCATGGAGTATAACTCTACAAGTCCATCTCCATATCTGTCTTTTGTGTCTTCAGGATATGAATACACGAAGGGCTAACACAAGTAGAATGGAGGGCAGCAATTTCAATGAAGAATCTCTTCAAGGGAGTCAAGATTCTCAAGTGAACCAAGCTCCTCAAAGGAATCAAGCTCCAATTAACCCTCCGACTATGTCAGATGACGAAGTTAGGTTGGCTCTTCTAATGATGGCTCATGCCATGAATACTAATGCCCAAGCTATGATGGCCCAAGCCAATAGGGATGGTGGGACTCAAGTGAACCCTAATCTGAGCACTACCTCTTTTAGGTTGAGGGATTTTGAGAGGATGAAACCTCTGGTGTTTCTTTATTCCAAGGTGGGAGAGGATCCCAAAGAATTTTTGGATGAGCTGTATAAGGTTGTTGATGCTATGGGGGTGACCTTGATAGAAAAAGCGGAGCTAGCCTCTTACCGATTGAAGGATGTACCTCAAGTTTGATTTACTCAATAGAAGAAGAATAGGCCGGTAGGAGCGAGTTCCATAAATTGGGAAGTGTTTAAGAAAGCATTCATTAATAGGTTATTTCCCCGTGAGAAAAGAGAAGCTAAGATGGAAGAATTTATAAACCTTAGGCAAGGTAGCATGAGTGTCCAAGACTTCTCTTTGAAATTTACCATTTTGGGTAAGTATGCTCCATCTATGGTTGCGGAGCCGAGGGATGAGATGAGTAGATTTGTGACGGATGTGTCCGACCTAGCTGAGAAATAATGTCGTACAACAATGCTCCATGAGGACATGCATATTTCTAGGCTTATGGTGTTTCCTCAACAAATTGAGGAGTCTAAACTTAAGAGAAAGAATAGAGAGATGAAGAGAGTTGGTTCCGATGAACAAGGTCAACCAGGGTTCGAAAAGAGATCTTCCAACCAAGATTCTTCAAGAACTCCTAAGGTTAACCAAGAAAAAGGTAGTGGGTCTCCATTTCCTAAATATACTTGCACCAATTGTGGAAAGAAGCATTATGGGAAGTGCCTAGCCGGTACAAATAAGTGTTATGATTATGGAAAGAGTGATCATCAAGTGAAAGATTACCCTACACTTTCGGCAAAAGGAAGAGATGATAAACAAGCTTCTTTTAGTGGCCTGGATCCAAATGCTCCAAC